AATTATGTTTTATGGGTGCCGGCAGGTGGCATGGTGTTTAAGGGTGCTGGACTCCTACATAGTCAACTGTGGTTCGAGTCCCGGGCCTGGTGGGTTGCTTTCTCACTTTCTCTTCCTCTCGCTCTCTCTTTCTCTCTGTCCCTCTCCAATTACATTTTTTAAAAAAGCTAAAGAAAATAATTCTTAAAAAAAAGTTTACAAAAAGGAAATTATGTTTTGAATGAAAGTGAAAAACTTACTTCATGTTCATAAAAGATCCTATTTAGTTGATAAGCTAAGTCCAGTAATTGAGGCCTGCTAAAAAGTATAATGGGCTATCTAAGAGCTTGCGGTCACTGTGAAAATAATTGCAGAATAAAGAAGAATTGAAGGCTGGTGTGAGAATGTTGCATCCAAAGAGAGTAAAGTTGGCTGGCACTTTAGAATCACACCAGGAGTAGGTGTGTCTGAATGAGCCCGTGTGGCCAGCCGGTGTCTGAGCTAAAGGAAGTCCCAGGCTTCTGGGAATGCCAGCTTAGTGACAGAGACTTTTTAAATGACCTAAGTAGTCTTGAAAACTCACCCAACAGATTCATTCTTCTCTCCGCTGCGGTGTTCTGTCCTTCGGTGCTAAGGTCCAAATAAAGTAATAATTTTATTTTAGTTTGCTATAGGCCACATGCGCTTGCTGGAGAGATACGGAGTGAGAGAAAGAGAAAGTGAGAAACCAGTCCCTAGGGGCAGTGGTCATATCTCAGTCCCTCTCTGGATTTTGGGCACACACAAATGCACACGTGCCCAAGCTGCCAGGTCTGGGATCCAGCGCCTCAACCACCATGCCACCTGCCGGCCTATAAAGTAATAAGTTTACTCTGTTCGGTCTACTTGTGTAGACAGGAGTGAGAAGATGGGAAAGACAAGGTGGTTATGGGGATGTTTTCAATCTGAGAAAAGGAAATGTTTAGATGTTATTTGCTGAATGCCTGTAACATAATAAAAGCATTTGGATTCGAAATAAAAAATGAATTATATTTAATGGGCCTGTGGTAAGTGCTCGACACTATATATCCTTAAATATAATAACCTATTTAAAAATTTTTTTTTTCTTTTTTTGGAGAGGTTTTTGCCATAGGGCGCATGTGCTCGCCAGCCAGAGAGAGACAGAGAGACAGATAGTGAGAAATCACCCCCCAGGGGGGATGGCCATGACGCAATCCCTTCTCCTCCATTCTCCTCTCGGGATCTTGGGCATGCATGCATATGCGCCTGGCGTGAGTTTAAGCCACCGGGTCCGGGACTCGAACTGCGGTCGACTACGTGGGAGTCCAGCGACATAGCCATTACGCTAACTGCTGTTCCCCAATATAATAACTTATTTGATCCTTTTAGTAACCCTATGGAGTATATACCGTGAGCATTCTTACTTTACGTTAACATCCCTATTGTACTGATGAAGGACCTGGGACCTAGCCATCTTAACTCCATAACAGACTCACAGCTATATGGTGACAACCGGGACTCAAACACAGGCAGTCTTACCTCAGAGCCTGAGTCCACAGGTCTTACAAGAACTTGGCGAACTTGGGCAAATTTTTCAGTTTCTCTCATCCTGATTCCTCATCTGATAAACAAGAATAATAAAGAATATAGCTTTATCGGGTTGTCGTCTATAAGTGCTTGGCATTGCCCTGTCTCGCACCTACTTCCCCCAGCCTCTCAAGATGGCAGCAGAGGTTGGGAGAGTGGCCCTCCTCTTGTAGCACAGTTGTCCCTGGTATCAACTCTTTGTGATCCAAGAGTGGTCAGTGTAAGATAAGTAATCATAAATGGTAGCTGCCGGCTTTGTGAGATCGTCATTCTTATTTAATCTAGATCTCGAAAATAATGCTTTCTCAAAGTCAGCAACAAGCATATTGCATCATGGGAATGATTTTGCTTTTGCCACTCTCTTGTCATTGCTCTTTGGGGTAAGTGTAGATTGTAGTTGTCATAGTGTTGTATTGACACCATTGCCAATTTTGAAGAATGTTTTGTAACAAGAAGGAGAAAGAAATTTAGAAGTGTTCCAAGCTAGGCCTGGTAGTCATTTGCTTTGATTCAGAATTTTTGTAAAGTAGACACTGGGAAGGTAATCTCAGTTCAGATATAATTTATATTTCTTAGATGACTTTAGAGAGGTTCCTGTATTTGAAGTACACTCCCTAAAAGGTTATGGATTTAACAGTTCTTTTTTTTTTTTATAAAGTTTATTTATTTATTAGAGAAAACGAGCATATACCCCCAATAAGGTCTTGACTCCACAGTCTCCTGAGCCTACAGCTTATCCTGGATCATGGGCAGGAGTGTGCCCAGCATACTCAGGGAGGCCTGTGGTCTTGAACTGGGAACCTTCTCTTGTGTGATTGCCTCGCAGAGCATTGCAGTTTACAGCTGTACCACCTCCAGCCCAAACTTAGCATTTCTTGATCCTAAAGGATGACTTTATTTTTACACACACACACACACGTCAAATTTTAAGGAATTGGCTCATGAGATTGATGGGACTGGCAAGTCTAAAATCTAATGAGCAGGTCGGCAAGCTGGAAACTCAGGCAGAATTTCCATGTTATAGTCTGGAGGTTGAATCTTATCTTTTCTGGGAAACCTCAATTTTTGGGAATTCAGGCCATTAGCTGATTGGATAAGGAGATTATCCTGCCCAGATTATGGAAGGTAAGATCCTTCACTTAAAATCAACAGATTGTACATATGACTCTCACCTATGAAATACCTTCCCAGCAACATTTAGACTGGTGTTTGACCAAACAAGTAGGCACCATAGCCTGACCAAGGTGGCACATAAAATTAATTAACTGTTAATTAATTAATTGATTATCTCTTGCTAGCATCCACCATTTTCCCAGCTTCTCCCAGCTCAGGTCCTGTTGGTTTCCTGATGACTTTATCAAGGGCTTAGAAACTTTTCTTAATCCTCGCTAAAGTATTGTTTGTAGCACTTAAATTAGTTGGAAAAAATAAGGATGAGAAAGACCAGCCCAAGGTTACGTCACTGGACTCCCACTTAGTTGACTGGGGTTCGAGTCTCAGACCACCCAGCATCTTAAAACTTATGCTGGGCATGTGCGCGTACATGCCTAAAGTCCTGAGAGGAGATTGGAGGAGAAAGGATTGCAGCATGTCCATCCTGGGGGGTGATTTCTCGCTTTCTGTCTCTCTCTTTCTGTCTTTCTGGCGAGTGCACATGCCCTATAGCAAAAATCTTTCTAAAAAAAAGGATGAGAAAATTTAAAGTGGAGACAGAGAGAAAGTGGGGAAGTGTCCCCTCATGGGGGATGCTCATTAAGCAACTTATGAACTTACTAACTCTTGTTTTTTTAAAGACCTGCGGTGGTGTGCCAGGCAAAGGACAGTGCCGAGTCAGAGGGGCTTAGAGTCTAGTCTGGCGAGGTCAGTGGGAATGTTCAGTGCAGTAGAGCTTGGTTGCATGCAGGTGGTGCAGCAGGGCCACACAGAAGAGCTGAAGCGCTGAGCCTGGTGGAGGTTAAGGGTTAGGAACAGTTCCTCTCTAAGCCTGAGGCCTGAAACAAGAGTGCTGGTTTGTAAACTGCCAAAGTCAGTGACTAGCAGGGATCCCAGGAGGAGAGTGAGATGCGAGACCAGTTAAGGGGAAGTTGGGGCTGTCCAATAGCTTGACCAAGCTGTGAAGGATGGAAGTCTGAGGACTGCGAGATTCACCAAGACTAGGGATAGGTGAGGGCTGGATTATGGGATCTGCATTTTACCCTATCCAAGGTAAAGATCCATGGGATAGTTTTAAACCAGAGCATAATATGGGCAGCACTCTTAAAAGATAGTGTTTTTTGTTATTTTATTATTATTATTATTAGATGTTTTTGCCTTAGGATGCATGCACTAGCCAGGGAAAGA